TGTAGAGTACTTCTCTGGGCAAAGGGCTGACCAGCCTCGGCAAGGAATGCAAGTGAATTTTCAATTTCTGGAAGGCCGCCTCAGCATCCGGCCCCCATTCAAACCTTGCCTTTTTCTTAATTGCCTGGAAAAAGTATAGGCATTTGTCGCCTGATCGGCTTAGAAATCTTCCCAAGGCCGCCAGACAACCTGTTAACTTCTAAACCTCTCGGATGGTACGAGGCGACTGCATGTCGATGACCGCCTGCACCTTCTCAGGGTTCGCCTCTATTCCTCTCTGATTGATAAGGAATCCGAGAAATTTCCCAGACTCAACTCCAAAGACACATTTCTTGGGATTGAGCATGACATTGTGCCGCCTGAGTGTGGCGAAAAATTCTCGTAGGTCCGACAGATGATCTTTCTGAAGTTTAGACTTGACAATCATATCATCAATATATGCCTCGACATTTCTCCCAATCTGATCAAAGAACACAGTGTTTATCATTCGCTGGAAAGTGGCCGGGGCATTCTTAAGACCAAACGGCATGACCGTGTAACAGTATAACCCCTGATCAGTGACGAAGGCTGTCTTCTCCTGATCTTTCTTCCATAAAGGAATTTGATGGAAACCAGAGTAGGCGTCCATAAAGCTCATCAAAGCATGCCCGGCTGTTGAGTCGACCAGGTTATCAATTTTAGGCAGAGGGTAACTGTCTTTGGGGCACGCCTTGTTTAAGTCTGTGTAGTCTACACACATTCGCCAGGTGCCATTCGGCTTTTTAACAAGCACCACATTTGCAACCCAGTCTGGGAAGTAACATTGCTGAATGAACCCTGCATCAAGTAATTTTTTAACTTCGGCGGCTGCCGCCTGACTTCTTTCTTCGCCATGGTTCCGCTTCTTCTGCCGTACCGACTTCTTTTTCGGATCCACGGCCAGTTTATGTACCGCCAGATCAGGACTAATGCCTGGAATTTCATGGACTTCGAATGCAAAGATGTCCTTGTATTCTTTCAATAGTTTGTGAAAGTCGTCACCCAGGTCCCTTAGAGCAGTCGTCCCAACCTTGATTGTTCTGTCAGGACGCGAGTCATCTAAGATCAGGTCCGTATGCTCACCAGCTGGCTGAGGGCGGAATTCATCTGACCGCTCCTCTGCCAATGATTGCTATTTTCTGTCTTTTCTTGCGGCCCCTGTCTGGGATGCCTTTCTCTTCTTGCCGCCTGCTTCGTGAACAGGCGCACTCTCCTTGACATTGTCAAGGTCTATTTTTCCACCGCTCGACATAGTGGCCATAACAGTGGGCTTGACGTCCGAGAGATAGCACTCTCGGGCCATCCTCTGATCTCCCCTTAGGGACCCGACTGTTCCATTATCCCTCTCAAACTTGAGCAACATAAGAGATGAGATTATAACAGCCTTGGAATTATTCAGGGTTGGTCGTCCCAGAATCATGTTGTAGGCCGAGAGTTCTTCTACTACCAGGAACCGGACTACCATGTGTCGTCCTTCCCCTTTTTCGCCCAGGCGGATGGGTAAATCCACTCGTCCCACTGGGTGGACGACTCCTCCTCCAAACCCTACTAAAGGGTGGGATGCCGGATGTATGCAATCAGTCTGATATTTTAGTTTCGACAGACATTTTCTACTGATGAGATCTGAGGAGCTTCCGGTATCTATGAGGATTCGGCCAACTCTCTGGTTGGCCACTTTACATTCAATAACGATAGGGTCGTCATGCGGCCCTCTTACCCCTCCTAGGTCTTCTTCAGTGATGACAATCTCAGGAAATGAATATTTGGAGGGTCGTTCTTGGTGAACGGAATTTACATCTAACCGTCTGATATTGTCTTTGTTGCCCCTAATAGTGGGGCCGCCTCCTGAGAAGCCGCCTGCAATGGTGTAGACGACTGCATCATCTGTATCGGAGTTGTCGGCCTGTTGATTCTTTTTGGTCGACTGCTTTTTCGAGGAAGTGTTCCCCGTAGATTTCTTGACATAAGTGTCAAGATCACCTTGCTCAGCCAGGCGGTCCAGATACCGCATGAGACTGATGCATTCATTGGTGTGATGACCAACATCTTCATGATAATCACAGAATTTTTCTTGGTTCCGATTGTTTGCAGAACCCTTCATGGGGACCGGCTTCTCAATTGAGATCCGTCCCTTGATTTCCTTTAGGATAAATTGGCTATCCTTGTTAAACACATACTTTGGGGAGTATGGTTTGAATTCTTTTTTCTTCTTCTGGGACGACTGTTTAGAGGAATCAGTTGCCCAGACCTCTTTTCTCTTCTCGTCTTTGTTTGACGACTGCTTCTGTCGTCCTTCTCTTTTGTCGGACCTTTTCCCGTCTGACTGTTTTACCGTACTACAAAGATCAGTCGCCTGTATATAGGCTTCCGCTTCAATCAAGGCCTCTTGAAGAGTCGCCACCCTCTTTCGGACCAAATAAAATTTGAAGGTCGACCCGTCTTTGAGACCTCTGAAAAAGTCAGTATAGGCTACTTCATCCGGTAACCCTTGAATCTGTATTCTCATCAGGTTAAACCGCCTGATGTAAGAACGAAGCCCCTCCTTCTCGCCCTGCTGAATTGTTCCTAAATCAAGGGTCGTCTTCTTCGCAGGGATGTTCATGGCGAAGTTGGAGGTGAATAAGTAAGCAAGCGTCTTGAAGTTATTTACACAACCAGTCGGCAGGTTGCCGAACCATTGTTGTGCGATTCCTTTGAGAGTCGCTGGGGAACACTTGCACCAAGTGGGATCATCCAACCCTTGAAGGTACATCAGGTTGGTGAATGCCATCAGATGGTCTTCTGGGTTAGTAGTGCCGTCATAGGCGCCTACTAATACATTTTTCACTTTGGCCGGCTGAGCGGCTTCAGTAATTTCCTTGGAGAAGGCCGACGGCTGTTCACCAAGTCTAAGCAACCGTAGCTGCCAGTCCATAGGTTGGACATTTTTTGCTGCATGTCCACCAAACGGAGGTGGCTGTAAAAAATATTGTTGTTGCGGTACAAACGGTAAGTTTGGTACCGCCTGGTCGCTATGAAAGCCGGACTGACGAGAGGTGCCGCCTGACTGACTCTCATGATACGACTGAGTATGCCTCATCGAGGTATTTCGCAGACTGTCTTGGAAGTTTGAAGTAGAGGCCGGCTCTGACAATCGGTCACTTTCTTCTGTTCTAGCAGTAGCCGAGCGTCTGTGTATGTTTTCCTCGACCCGTCCGCCTGAATATGACGAACAGGTTTCCTATTTCCTGGAGTAGGAAAACGGTATTTTGTGAAATCAAGGGCAGGTGGCTCCCACTTCCTAGATTTAGGATGAGGGGTCGCCTCTCGCCCTTGAACTGGCTTCCTCTTCCGTGAAGTGGAGGGTTTCTTAGCCGACTGCTCCTTGTCCAGAGCAGGCGGCTTCTTGTTGATCAACTCTTGAATTTCTCCCTTGAAGTCCCTCATGAAGGTCATGAGTTCGTTCCTTGTGATGGGAGCAGACCCATCAGTCGGCTGCTGCCGAACAGGCGGTGCGCCTGCTGGCTCGCTTCCAGTTTGAAGATGTTCCCGTTCCCTCCTTTCGGTATGACGGGTACGTCGGGCCCTTAGGGTCCCGTCTGAAGCTGTGTGAGCTTCAACTTCAAATTCATTCTCAGTATCGTGGTCCGACTGAACTAGAGGGTCGTCCAGGGAACGTCTCTCTTCAGGAGCCGGTACAAACGTGGATGCCATCTCAGAAGTACTCTCCCCACAGACGGCGCCAAAATGTTTCGGGGTTTTCTGATGTCCTGCGGGAGAGTTACAATTCCGAGACTGGAGCCGGACGCCTGTACCTGCAAAACAAACGGATGCTCCGGATGATTGGAGATCCGCCTCCGACGGTCAAGTTAGTACTTGATTAAGAAGTAATTAATGCGGAAATTAAAGTGATTTGGTCTCTCTAGGTGAGAGAGTTTAATGTGTGTAATCTGCGTAATCTCTCTTAATGAGGATTAAGGGAGGTATTTATAACCTCGGGAAACGTACCAATCTAGGTTTAGGTTAACATTGGGCTGATTGGGCTTCCCTCGGAAGTTGGGCCTGGGTGGCCGACTTCTCCATTAGGCATGGAGTATGCCACGTGTCATGACATAATAGGTCCAAGGCGGACGAATAAGCGTGTGCCACGTGGTAAGCCCTGAGAGGTCCAACTGGGGAACACTTGGCAGGACCTGATTGGCCCACGTGGCGCATTCCGATTGGTGGGAGCAAAATCCCCTAATCACTTACCACAACCTAGTTATAGTTTAATCATGGGGAATAATTGGGATTTAGTTGAATTAAGGGGTTGTTTACATGTTGTAAATTACAAGTTGTGCTATGCAGTTTTGCCTCATGTGCCACCCGAAGTATATGAGTATAGCATGTGCATTTGGGCTATGAACAAGAACCATCATGGTTTGAAACAATTGTGGGTTCAATTGGTTGATCGTATTTCACTCAAACAAGTTTTAGATAGTGAATGGAAGCGTTATTATCGTGTCCACCAGTCATGTTCGTATAGTCTGCCATTGCCATGCGCTTATTCGGAGAATGGACGGAAAATCATAATAGTTTTAGGGGGAGTGACCTTTGTTCAATGTGATCTACGTAGTGGTGAGCTAAAAAAAGTCGAAATTCGTGGTTTACCTAATCATGGCAAGGATGCATACCTTAAATGTGATCTTATTCCATGGAATGCTTCCCTTGTTTTCCCTTCAAGCTTAAGCACTTAATTATGTAGAAATAATGAATCTTATGAATGTATTTCTTTCTTTTTTGGGCATAAAAATGACTTCCTCTACGAATTTTATTTAGTTGGATGTGTTTCAATATAGATTAATAGAAAAAATTATAGTAAGAAAAAAAGAGCTAGTATTATTTGTTTTGAGTGCTTTTTGTCCACTATTATCGATCTTGTTTTAGCAATTTATTTACGAATGTAATTGAAACTAATTACTGCGCCATACAAATCTAAGTTACGTAAAGCTACGCTGCTTATATTATGTGCTCACTTCTGGCAAAAATAAAGCAAAAGCAACCAAAGTTAGTAAATCAATTAAGAATTTAAATATTCGCAATACAATAAATAAAATCTAAAGAACAAAGAACAAAAAAGTGAATAAAGAGAACTAAAGCAAATATATGACACAAATTCTTAGTAATATTTACTAATAATGGTGCTAAGATTCTTTACTTCTAACTCTCAAACTTGACTCAAAACCCTAACAACACTCATGCTTCCCAACTTTTTTGTCACACCAAATTAAAAACTAAACCAAAATTTCCCCTTACACAAATAACCAAAATGAGTCACCCTAAAAATTCTACAACCCAAATACTCACTCTCCTAATACTAACCTTAGATGTGTTAGTCTCTTCTCAATCATCCCTCTGTAGGACGTCCTGCGGAGGGATTCCGATTAACTACCCTCTAACCATTGATGATGGGTGCGGTAGTCCATACTACCGCCACATCTTGGTGTGCTCCGGAGATGTCCTCCAACTCCGGACCCCTTCAGGCCGGTACCCCGTGAAGTCAATTAGCTATTCGGATCCCCACATTTTGGTCTCGGACCCTCTTATGTGGGAGTGCAAGGATGAAGACCGGTTTCGGCCCACTAGACCATTTAGCTTGGACAGCAGCACGCACTTGTCTCTATCCAACCAGAATGAGTATCTCTTCTTCAATTGTAGCCCTGATAAGGTCATCATGGAGCCCAGGTACGGCTTCTTAATTAGCTTGCAAATAATGCAAAATCATATACTTCATATATTATTTTCCTATGATCATGATCTTAATTTGAATATATTGCTCACAAAATAACTAATTCTATAGTTAAGTTATACAAGTAAGAATTTCTTTTTCCGACGTGTTCACTTTCATATTTGTCAATCCATAATGTCAAATTACGTAAAGACAGAAGTATATGTAACAAAAATTTTACATGATTATATTTATTTTCTTAGAAGTATAAGCTCTAAGAGTATATATGCGAATGGTGTAAAAGTTATAATGTTACAATTATAATGAACATACAAAATTTTTAGGCCGATGTTTTGCGAGAGGTTCCCTGATCGGTGTGACACTACATGTGATCCCGCAAGCTACCTATGCTGGCATTTCCCGCAATGTGCCCCAAAAAATAAGGCCTTAAGAGACCTCTCTTGTTGCTCTTACTACCCTAAGGCGACCGAATCCTTAAGGATGATGCTCAAGCAGTGTGATACTTATACTAGTGTTCACTGGAAGAGTGTTGGCGGCCTAGGGACCTCACGACCCTACGATCAAGTGCCCGAGTATGGTGTGAGAGTCGACTTTGAGACCCCGCTCACGTCGAGCTGCCTTCGTTGCCAAGACCGTGCTAAGGGACGAGGTACTTGCGGGTTTAATACCACAAACCAAGATTTCTTATGTTTGTGTGAGGAAAGAAATGTCACTACTTATTGTAAAGGTATGTCCAATACAGTAACGTACATAAAATATGTATCACAACAAGTTAAATATATTTTCGAACTCTTTAATATCTCTAAGCAAGGTTGCCTACTTGTGATTGTGGCAGATCATCAAGTTGAAAGACACGGTGGACATACTAAGGCAGTCGCAGGTAAATATTTCAGTCGACCACTATAAAATTTTCAATTACTTATTAGGTTCAAATTAAAATTGCCAATTTGGATAAACAAGTGTATTATTCATTTTGGTTAGATTTTGCATTATTCACATATTACCAAAACTTATATATATAGGTATAAATGTAAGGTAAGAATCATATCATGTGTCAAATTCGATTAGAACAAGAATTATTTGTGCTCGTGTTGTATTCAGTTTGAATTACCATGACTAGCTTCATCTCCAATTATTTATGTTTTGCATGTTACGTTGTTGTGTCGTGTTAAAAATTGTCAGCGGCCCCAATTTGAATGTAGATATGTAATTCTAATATTTGTGTGGTGGTGTGATAGGAACGGTGACAGCAGCATCAATAGTAGCAGTAGGAATTGGGGCAGGCATATGGTACTTGAAAAAAGTAAGAGCAACTGCACCAGTTACACATGGTGTCCAAACCAATGAGAATAGAATATTCTAGTATAAACTTTAATTTTTAATAATTACTATCATCACATATTATGGCTTCATGGTTTTTATTGTGCAGCAAAGAAAAAACCACATTTTTGGTCTCTTCTACATTACTATGTATAATTCTTTCTTTCTTTTTTTTTTTTTTTTTTTTTTTTTGAGTGGATGAAAGAGGTCCCAATTTACTCCTAGTTAATCTAAACCTAATACACCATAATATTTTAAGGGTTGGTTTAAATAAAAGGGAACATAAGCGGCCATATAATGAGACAATAGTCGAAATAAAGAAAAATTTATTCGTTATGTGAAACACCACTTTAATTGATTCGTTATGTTGTAAACAATATTAAAGCTGCAAAATACATTACAGAAAAAAAAAAAAAAAAAAAAATCCATCACTCCTAGACAAAGATATAGGCATACCCGTACAATTTCCAGTTTTCCACTATTTATATCCATGCATATAGCTGGCTAGCTGCACTGCCTGCACATTCCATGCAACCTCCGCAACTTCTAAATGGCCCAAATCAAACACAATCAACTAATTTCGTAGAGGCATAACTATCTTTCCAAGCCTCATATCACAATCAGCTAATTAAAAATGTTGCTATACCAGCGTTTCCAAAATTAAAGGATTGAGAATTAGCTGTTCAAAACTTCTCACAACCAAACACATAAACTAGTTAATTGGAGCTGTCAAACTTGTAACAGTACTAAATCCACTATAAGCTCTTCAAACTTTAGTTGACCAAACATAGCCAAAATATATTTTTGATGCATATAAACTTAAGTTAATAATGCATATCGTTATTATATATCTTGTGATTTAATAATTTAATAATACTACATATTAAAAAGCATATTTGCCGAACCACAAATATTAAATGTTAATTCACCTTATATTGCACAAACACTATCGTATATACCAAATCAATTCCAACCCAAGGCGTATAGTCAACGTAAAGTTGTATTAGAAAATAATTTTTTAGGTCAAAAGGTCAACGGAGGAAGGCCATAACTCACAATTTTTTTTTCTTGATAATTCAGTTGATTTAGAGTGAGTACAATTCATTTATCATTTATGTGCCTTTAGCTATGTTTGGCAATTTGGTATTAGCTATTATCACTACATGTAGTTTTTAGCTGATTGTATTAGATGTTAGCTGGCTAGTTGTATCAAAGATTTCATGAAAAAGTATTTGATATATAACTAATTGCTAGTTAATTGGTATTATATAAATGACCAAAATATGGCTAATATGATCGATAATCACAATTAATTTAGCGAAATAGACATATTAAATCTAGCTAATTGTGATAACATATACTTGAATGTTACTATGAATTTCCTCTAGCTGATTAGAAATATTTGCAACTTTTGATTTACATTATATTCACGCACACAATTTACTTTGATTAGTTTTGGTGATTCACACTTAATGGAAAACATAATCATGTAGAATCTTTTAGATGTGTGAATGTGTCTCAACATATATTTAAAAAATTAAATTTTTTTTTTGGAAATTTTGACTTTTACCACCTCCAAAAAACGACTTATTTGCTTTTACCACCTCCACAATCTAAAGTTTTATTTTACCACCACATAAAAAAGATAAAGTTGGATTTTCCCACCAAAACCCAACTCCGGTGACGAAAAAGTGATATGGGTCCCATTTATTTTCATTTCCCTCCAAATTAAATGCTAAAAACCCGATTTCCCTCTGTCTATTCCTTTTCTCACCTTCCCTATTCAATTGCAATCAATTTCTCACCTTCCTCCCATTAATGTATCTGAAAATTTCACCTTTCTCCTCTCAATTTTTTTTTTTCTCTATGTAAAAGTAAAAACCTAACTCACTTCATCTTTTACTTTCTTTCGCATCTGGGTAGTCGAAGAAGAGGTGGCACCACAAAATCGCAATAACTCAGCAAGAGGTCGTCATCTTCAACAGGGAGAGGACCAAAAGCTTGGGTCTTTGCTGACAAAGATTCGAGAATCCTGATAAAGAGAGGTATTTCAAACTTCCCTAATATACTTTGCGTGGGAAATGGGGTGTAGATTGGGGTAAATTATGCTACTTTTGGGAATCTGTGACATAAACTATTATAAACCCTAATTATGCGAATCTTTGACCTGGTTATGCTGTTTAATTGTTAAAAACTTACTTAATTAGGGTTAGCTTTACTTGGTAATTGTTAATTAAGTGCACAGTGAAGGTTAATTGCTTTTTGTTGCTGTAATTGGTGAATGCATGTTATTTGGATTGACTAATTGTGCAATTAATTACTGAACTTGTGATTTGGTGTGTTTGTTTTTGTTGAAACTATTACAGAATGGACAAAGTGAACCTTAAAATTACATTAGGGGGTACATTTATACCCTCATTAGGTGGTAAAACAGGAGGGTGTTAACTTGGGATGGTGGCTGGGTTTATTGGATGTAAAATGTTACTGTCTTTAAGATAGATGTACACTTTTTGAGGGAGTCAGCTGTTCATGGCTTTGTTTATGCTAATATGGTTGTGCCTAGGGGCTCTAGTTGTTGTTATAAACAGAAGGGAAGGTCTTGGGTAACTGGTAAAAGGGAGTTGGTTAGTGGTGATAAGGTAAAAGGGTTCCTTAAGTCTGTGAATAAAGAAGGGGCAATAGAGATGTATGCGACTAGTCATGAGCCAATTTAAGGCAATGACAAAACACCATTTAAATTGATATATGGTAATGAGTTGACTCCACAACAAAGGAAGCAACTCAGAAAGGAGTTAGGTGGGCCTGGAACACTTATGACCTGCCCAAGAGTGAGTAAACCCACTGGAGATTCAGTTAGGAGAAGCCCAAGGTTAAAGGGTATTGTGATTCATGACAAAGATGATGAGGAGAGGAGTCATAGGGTTACCACAGCTGTAGACAGACTGAGAGCAAAAGAAAAGGGAAAGGGAAAGTTAGTTAAGGGAGCTTCTGGTAGGTTCAATGCAGCAGAAAAGGGTAAGGGGAAGCTAGTTGAGGGAGAAACTAGAAAGAAAGGCAGAAGAAGTTGTTGTTTGATGATGAGTTTGAGGATGGGGAGGGAGAAATGAGTCCTCAGATTCTGACCTCAGTGACCTTGATCTAGATTAGGAAGAGAGAGAGGAGGATTTTTATGAAAATGATGATGATGAGGAGTGGTTAAGGAAAAATCTAGAGCACCTCAGAAGTGAAGTGAATGGTAGCTTGAGAGGAGTAGGTGAAGAGGGTTATTACAGGGATGATGAGGAACCTAAGGATCCTAGGTTTGAAATTGATACCAATTTGAAATCAATTGAAGTGAGGATTTAAGAAGAAGTTAAGGGTGATTCTAATGGGCTCAGGAACTTGCGTGGTGACTCAGATGATGACCTGGGTTCTTGTACTTGGTTTAACGCTGATACAGACTTTGATAAGCCTATCCAGTTTGAAGAGGGTCAAAGGTTCAACAATGTGCAAGTGGTGAGGAAAGCTTTGAGACAACATGCAATTGAGAATAGGTATGAGTATTACCTGCTTCACAATGATAGTAAAAGGATTACATCTTACTGCAGAAAAAGGTGCAACTATGTGTACAACAAAAAAAGCTGTAGGTTGATGAAGTGTACATGTGTGAAAGGGGTGAAGTGTAGATTTAAGTTCTATGCTGCTAGGTTAGTGAAATTAAAGGCTTGACAGATTAAGTCTTTAAGGTTGAAGCATAGGTGTATGAGGACAAAAATGAAAAAGAAGGTTACAGCTGAATTTCTGGCAGACATGTACTTGGAAGAATTCAAAGGGAACCCAGGCTGAAAGATCATACAGATTCAGGAGAGGGCATTGAATGATTTGGGGATAAAAATCAACTACTTCAAGGCATAGCTAGCTAGAAGCAGGGCAAAGCTCATCATCTATGGGTCAACAGCTGAGCAATATGCAAGGGTGTGGGACTATGGGATAGCTTTCCTCAAATTTAACCCAGACAGTAGCTGTAATGTGGTTGTGGATGGGATGGATCAAATTTAGAGGCCTATTTTTATCAGGATGTATGTGTGCCTATCTCCACTTAGCTTTGGGTTTGTTTTTGGTTGCAGACCCATCATTGGGGTGGATGGCTACCATCTGAAAGGAGCATATCCTAGGCAGATCCTTATAGCAGTAGGTAAAGATGGAAATAACAACATTTTTCCAATAACTTGGGCAACTACAGAGATTGAGAATAAAGAGACATGGGTGTGGTTTCTTGAAAGTATGTTGCAGTCACTTGGATGTTTTGAGCTAGGATTTGGGCTCACTTTCATGTCTGACAAACAGAGAGTAAGTACTTTCAAATTGATCATTTCTGTGTTAGTTTACTCTTTGTTTAGTCCATTATGTAACAATGCCTATTTTGCTATTCCATAGGGTTTGTTAGAAGCTTTTGAATCAGTTGTCCTCAAAGTAGAGCTCGAAATTCCGTGTGAGACACATCTGGGAAAATTTCAAGCTGAAATTTCATGGCTCCACTTTTAAAGAACTATTTTGGGCTTCAGCTAGGGCAAGCACTTTGGTAAGCTAATTACACTGATCGATTTGTTGTGTGTATGTGAATTGGAATTTATTGAATTATTTGTTGTGTGTATGTGAGTTTCTTTTTTATTGAAGCCTTTGTTGTGTGTGTGTGTGTGTCTGTCAATTTGAATTTGAGGTTGCTATGGAATCCATTAATTTCTTGAATGAGGAAGCTTATGAGTACCTTTCAAACATCCCCCCCCCCCCACACTGGTCAAGGCATGCTTTTTCAACAAACTACAAGTCTAACATGTTATTAAACAACATGTCTGAGATATTTAATGCAGTCACTAGGGAAGCTAGAGATAAGCCCATTCTTACTCAAATGGAATGGTTAAGAAGGTACATGATGAAGAGGAGTAATGACAAGTGGGAGGCAGCTTGTAAATGGGAGGGTTTGCTAACCCCATATGTGAACAAGGTGTTTGATGGCCTAGAGAAGTATGCTAGGGCATGTACAGTGCAGGCTTCTAGGGGTGACACCTATGAGGTTCAATACAAGGATGATCAGTGCATTGTATTGAACCTCATAGGTGTCACCCCTATACAAGGAAGAAAAGTGAAGAAAAGGCTGCTAGACAGGTACTGTACAATTCAAGTATGAATTTTGAAGGTTTAGGTTCCTAATCACACAAACTGACCACTTTGTTCTTTGTATTTGGAAGCTGCATAGATAATGCTACAGTCCCAGCCTTTAACAACAGTAGCAACTGAGAGTCAACCCTCCACCAGAAGAAAAAAAAAGTCTCAGTCAACCAACACCAGTGACAACGTCTTACCCACCCCAAGCTATAGCACAAACAAGGCCTAAGCTTCCAGTTAGCAGGAGCAAGATGAAGAACTTAAGTAGCTTGTAATATGGTTTTAGATATTGTGTACTTGATGAACAACCTAGTATTTTAGATAATCTTTTGTGTATTTTCTAATTGAACAAAGTAATAGATGCACTTAGGTACTTTAACTTTTGTTAAAACAATTTCAACATTTTATATGTATGAATGCCTGCCTTTTCTACTACTAATATGGAAAAAAAATTCAGGTACTTAATCATTTTTTGATCAACCTATTATTGCCACCTAATAAGATTCATTTAATTTCATTCATCAAATATTCAAGTACATGAAATGGCAACACTAAAAGCAGCCATAAAAGCTTAACAAAAGATAACATCAGTTGGGGATTTCAGCTTACTAAGCTATCCAAACTGATCCTAAGAACTAAAATACATAGCCAACACTAAAACCAACACAACGAAACACAACAACAACAACTAATATAAGCATATTCTTTGTTGTTTTATCCCTTCCATGAACCTCCTTGCTCATCTTCTTCCTGTCAGAACTAAGTGCCTTGCACTTGACCTTCAAGCTGTCAATCTCATTCATCAAGCACCTCCTCTGCCCACTAACATCATCAACTTCCCTCTTCAAGTCATTAATCTCACCCTTCATCAATTTCTTGTCAAGCAACAAGCTGTTAATCACCTATGTTTTCCAAGGTGTTCCACTTGGTAAATCCGTCCACTCAAAGGCTTTACACCCCCTTGTCTCTGCCAGAGGGTCATAGAATTTACATGACCTAACTTGCGTCCATGATTCTCCCTAGTCCACGAAGTAATCCTTGCCATTGGTACTCCACATTGACATCTTTTCTCTTTTGAAGGTGATACACTCATGGACGACATTTCCTTCTACAATTGACAACCACCAGCATCAACATTACTTCTAATTGAACACAACTATCATTCCCTAACCCTAAATATATTAATCAATTGTAATTTCAAAGAACCCTAAATTAATTGATATTGACATGAACCCTAATTTTTAAAGTATGAAATTGGGACTTAATTCATAACTGTTATCAACAATTCCAATCATACAAAACAATTGGAAGATAAACAAGCCAGGATTTATGAAATTTTACCTAATAATTCAAATAATTTGCGAAATTAGTGAAATGCATACCTTTTTCCAATTTCTCTAACAGGTGACTTTGTTAAACGACCACAGATCTGGAACAATTGGATGCTACAATTGTTAGGGTACAACAAACTAGAGGATTTGGGAAGAAATTTGCAAAATTAAAGCTCAATTTGATTATTTTTAGGAAGAAATGGAGAAGATGGGTTTATTTAAACAAGGGAATCGAGGGAAATTAGGGTAAAAATTGAAAAACTAGCCGTTAATGTGGGAGCCACATCACTTTTCCGTCACCGGAGTTGGGTTTTGGTGGGAAAATTCAACTTTATTTTTTTATGCGGTGGTAAAATAAAACTTTAAATTGTGGAGGTGGTAAAAGCAAATAAGTCGTTTTTTGGAGGTGGTAAAAGTCAAAATTTCCTTTTTTTTGTAAAAAAAAAAAATTACTTGATAATTATATATAGAAGTATATTGACAAACATATACTTATATAAAAATAAAAATGTTACAACAAATTCTAAATAGAGGAAGTATATATAAATAATACTTGTAGATGTTTAAAATAAAAGAAGTAATTTATTACTTAACCAAGTACACATCAACATTGAACAACACTTCATTCATTAACAGAATATTATTAACTAGTATACATAAAATTTTTATTTAATTAATTCATATAATATAATAAAGTAAATACAACTGAAAAAAGAATATAACCAATCTTAATTATTTGCTAGAGCTTCCACCAACCTAGCTAATAGCCAGAATAGCTCGATCGATCTTCTTTATTGGCTCCAAGCAATTTAACAAATTAATTAATATCCAACATGTATGAAAATTATGAACATTAATCAAAACTTAATTAATTAATTATATGCATCCATATTCTTTACCAAAATATGATATGTAGCTAGGATATAGTCGTGTTTGATAATTGACCCTCATCTTCTTCATATATGCTTGTATCATTTTAAGCATAGCTACACATGCCATAGTAGCAAAAGCTCCCTTTCTTGCATTTGTTGTGGCAAGCCCCACAATTCTTTCTATCATACCAAAGGTTAATGCATCTCCCATTGCAACAAACCTCAGGAAATCTGCATTTTCGTCCACACATACCACAATTTAGGTTATCGGTTTTGACATTAACACACCTCTTACCACAACAATCGCCGCCTGGACTCCCTTTAGTATGACAAACCCTAGGGAACTTATCACATGTCAAACGAACACGTGCACCAGTGCCACCAATCACTTTGTATGGGTTAATCGGATGTTTTTTCTTTGAATTGAGAAACTTACTCGATCCTTTATAGGAATCAAATGTTTCTAATTCCTTACCTTTCTTGTCATTTTTCTTATTCTCTTTTTTGGTTTGTGCCGAGGAAAGAGTGATGAGAAGGGCCATGAGAATGGCTAAGACAATTGCAATCTTAAGGGATGACTTCATATTTTCTTGACAATTTGAATAAGAAAGATAATGTTGATGGAATTTAAGCTCTAAGAGGAGCTAATTATAAGATAAAAGATGATTGTATGTTTTGTGATTTTTACAATTATGTGAACTATATATGTATATATAGGCAAGAGATTTGACACATGCATGCATATAAGTTGTACGCAAAGGGATAAAAATTCAAGCGTTTTAGGCGGCTTGAGCAATTAGTGGAGTGGTCTTAGTCATAATGAACCAGAAATTTGGTTTGTGGAAAATATATTTGACCTATACGTCAAAGCTACTAAAATATGCCAAGTAATAATCAACCATATAATATAATATATAAATAGGAATAATATAATATCAATTATCAATCAATATCTAACTAGTATACTCTATGTATCAATATGTATCTATATATTATTAGTGGAATCATAATAATGTCACTAAACTATATATTATTTAACTTTGATCTAGTTTTATACTAGTTCCAATACAATCCAAGGAGTAAAGTAGAGCTAAATGATACTTAAAAATTTGTGGTCAAAACGTTAAGAGAGGGAATACATTTCTTGGACACTAATTAATCTTGTACCCTATAGTAATGTAGATTTTGATAGCTAGCAAAACTATTCTTTTTTCCGACAAACAAGGTATTGTTATCTAATGTCATTTTATCATATGGCAATTTTAAAAGGGGAAACATGTGCTCCTTGTGATTTGGAATGTGGTGAGGATGAAGCTAATATAATGTGGATGGTTATGAAGCCATAGAATACACGTACACCAATTTAATTAATTACTTCATTAGATTCAATATAAAGTAATTAAGCACGCACTTAAACATGTTCGACAAAAATATTTGTTAGCTGTAATAATGGCTTTGAATTAATAACTCCGTATTACTATGTGTATTTAATTAATTTGTTATAAATAAATTTTAGATACTAAGCAACGTGGTTTGCATTTAGTTTTCAACAAACTAGTAATTAATTATGAGAAACTGTCTAATAAAAAAAAAGTGTTGTAACCTAATAAAAGATAAAGTGTTGTAAAAGACTACCTCTAACCGGATTTCCACCATTGACCTTTTACGTTCTCTAAATATTTTTGAAGATCGAGTAAGCTAATAAGCTATTGGTCTGTAAGTCTGTAACACACATATATATGATGAATTCTAACTCTCTTCCTTGTATCTTTTTGGTTAATTTGGTTCAAAAGCCGAGCGAGATCAACCAAATGCTATTAGCAACTAGCATATAGTATTTGGGTTCGGACAATGCTGCATCATTATTATTGTTTGAAATTAGCAATCATATATTTGATTCATGACATAATCTTCTAATAAGTATATTTATTTTTCATGTTGTCATTTCCTACAATTTGAGCTTTTGTTCTCCAAAGAGTATTATAACTAATTTGTGGCATGATAACGTGGTCTGATATCTGGTGTTAGAACTTGAAGTTACATGTTCGAATTCGATACGTATAGTATAAATTACACATCATTGGTGGAGTTCTACCAATTTATAAAAAATTAATCACTTTACTATGTCAAACAATTCAAATATAAATAGAGCAATTTAAGATATTAAAAGTAACCATTCAAAATCTAGATATTTGTTAGATAACTAGTTATTCGATTTTGTCACTATCTATTGAAACCAAAGGAATATCCAAGACTTTTTGATGTGAACAAGATAATATAATTGTTGGCTGGCCAATTTAACAGCTTGGATAGAGCTACTAGTTTCACCAATGGCTATTAGCCTAATTAGTTACGTCGAAAACTCTTTTAAACTTCCTACTTAGTCGTTTTCTTAGCCGTTAGTTAAGCACTTTTGTGATGTACTTGTCAACGCTTTTTATTTGAAATTTCATCATCACTTTTCTACTGCTGTTATTTTTATTTATTTGACTAATAATTTTATAAACATAGTCAACTCGTTGAACACTTGGTAACATGGTTAAACCGATTATGTTCGGCAAAGACATGAATTAGTGTACATTAGCATTTAATCAGCTTATATTATATACTTTGTAGTTGTTAAGTTGAACTAACAACTAGTTGTTCTGTATTTTTTTTTTTTTTTACTTACTGTAACCACGAATATCAAAGAGAGAATTAACTTTGTGAAAATTAAAGTATGTGAGCCCTTTCGTTTTCAAATTTTGAAAATTTAATTACTTCGTATGTAATTTTAACATGTATACAATTTTAATATTGTCAAACGTATTAGACATTAACTATAAAAGGTTAAAATATAAAAGCAAGAGGTAAAATTCACTCTATGATATGCTTGTCACGAAAGCAACACGTAAAATATCTAAATCGATAATCCTCGATCACAAGCTCAAAACCTGAGAGCAAATATGA